TCCAGTTGCTTAAATTGGAAAATTTACTGCGATGATCATACTTCACTTTCATCTACTACCGCAGTTCAAATATGAATTATTTCATATATACTTCACAGGAATATTTATCATCGTTAGCCTTTAGAGTCATATTATACACTAAATTACTGCTCCTTTGGGAAACACTTTTTGTTTTCCCAAGAATCTAGATATTTTCCTCCACAAACATCAAGATTCAAGGGAAAACAATTCAAAACTCACTGTTTCCCAAGGGACAATAGCCTGTAAAGAAGGCTCACCTTCGAGTCACACGTGCAAATAGTGAATAGCGAAGCAATCTGGCGGGGTGTAGTGTGGTGAAGAGGTGCCAGGAAAGTGAGCCAGAATTGATCTCTGTAATTTTTTCAATTTTACATGTACTTCGCCTCTGCAAAGTAAAATACCATTGGTTGAAAAGCTGGAAAGACAAGAACATTGTCAATCTATTATGTTTGGTGAGAAGCGATTAGGTCCCCACCGAGTCGGTAATTAACTGTGGGCTCTCCAAATAAAAAAAAAAGTCGTCCACATTTGGAGTCAGAGGAAGAATTGAGTGTGCATATTACGGATGTTTTAACAAAGTTCTAGTCTATTTCTGGTTAATTTTCAAACCAAAGAGGGAGCAAGAAATAGCAGTTGAAAGTATGTTAATGAATCAAGACATATTTGTCGTATTGCCGACTGCATATGGCAAGAGTTAAATATTACGAACATACATGATGGCAAGCGGGCAACAAAACAACACAAAGGTGTTTGCCTGTTTTATACCAGCATCATCAAGGACCAGATAGCCAAAGCAAGCTCACTTGGAATAAAGTGTGTGTCATTGCTAGGGATAAACTGTCATGGTTTTTCTTTGAAAAAAACTTTATTAGCAACAGAAATCGTGCCTGCATATTGTTATGCCCAAAGACTGAAAATTTTCCTGAGAAATCTGAGCAGCCAAAGTTCATACTTTGGTGAAAATTGGTTGGCTTATGTCTTCTGCAGTTTCCAGTGTGGAAATTAATGAAACATTGGCAGAGATCAGCGCAGGCTTGCTTTCTTCTAGTCTCACAGCTTTGCCACTCGATTCTGTACTTGTGGCTACACTGCCCACACTTATGCTCCAACATGAACCTGCTTGCAGGTTAAAGGGACCAGTAATTAAGTGTTTTTTATATAGCTGGAGGTAAGTGTAAAATAATAAGACAAGACAAAGTCAAAGTAATGGCTTGTTAGTGGGAGTTGGCAACAATTGCTTAATGGACCTTTTCAGTAATACAGTAACCATTTCGAATTCTATGTTTCAATTAGCTATTATGGAATGCTCAGGGGGCAAATTAGTATGTATTTGCCTCTATGCATCCCATAATAGCTATTTGACACAATAGGCAAAACAAAATGCATCCACAGTGGATAGCATAGCGTGGTTAGTTCAGCAGGTAGAGTGCCAAACTGCTGTGGCGGAGGCTGTGGGTTAGATCCCCAGACCAGACCAACACTCAGGGTCTTAAAATAACTGAGGAGAATGTGCTATCTTTGTAATTACATCTGCAACTGGTTAGACATTCAAGTCTTCGTGGATAAGGACCATAAACTATAGGCCTTGTCTCGTGCATCTTCAGTGTTACATGGTTAGCAGGAGATGTTAAAGAGCCCACAGACTTATCGCAAAGAGTATGGCATGGAGTCCCGGCTGTTGTGGTCTGGCCTTGTCTCACGGGTTGGTGCTTCACGTACAGTTAACCTGATTGCACCTTTCCCCCTTGGACAGTATTGTCCCGGAAAAAACTGCTCTGTGTATGTCTATGTCTTGAGAGCATACCTTTCTGGAAATTGTGAAGATTAGCTCGTATGTAAGTGATTTTTCAATTTTTTATGATTTTTTGTAGTGGGTGAGTCGATTGCTAACCTGCCAAAACATCCACTGAAGAGGTTTGAGCCAACTTTGCGAAAATTTCAAGTGGCACTTCCAGCTGATCTCGCAAGACTTCAGCAGCACAAAATAAACATGGAAAAGGTAAGCCACAACATTCCAGTTGGTTGGAGTGGGGAAGTCCAAGTCCGAGTCCCAATTATGATTTAAGTGTACATGTACTAAATAAGTTATTATAGGCTGAATGTGAAGGAACTTTTTCTGGGTCCTTGTGTTGTGTTCTTTGGAAAGACACTTTGCTGTCACAGTAGGACAGAGGGAGGTTGGAAAAAGACTATTAGTCAGTTTAGAATTTGAAGAATTATTATTACTTTGTTTGGAGAAGTACACTCAGTCTGTAGATTATGTTCATTTGTTGCAATCCATTGATTCTGCATAATATACATGTACCCTGTAGATGTAATCAAATTGTCCTTTGTTTTGCAGTTTTATCGCTCAGAAGCTTGGTTTGAACTTAATAAAGAACAAATTAATGCTGCAAGGACAGTGCAGGTATTAGCAAATGCTTTTTTTAGCAATTTAGTTATACTTCCTAGTTCTGCGTTGTGTTCTCAGTGATGAGCCTGTAACTTATAGCAGCAAATCATCATATGGTAACTTACTATATGCTTGGTACTCAAGTCAGTCACAATATGAAGGGTACTTGAACATATGAACTCAGTTAAATGACCTTGCTCTCCATGAGGTCTCATAGCTCAGTGAATAGAGCACCCGCCTGGTGTTCACGACGTCATGGGTTCGATTCCTGTCAGGGACTCAGATTCTTCTTTCTCCCACCCTCGTGTCATGTTGATCAGTTCACTTATCACATTTCATTACTGAGCTTAAAATTCACTATCTTTATTCACTTATCATGAAGGGTACTTGTTGAAATAAGGGAATAATAACTCATTAACCAATTGGAATAAAAACCATTCAAGTCATATCTTCTTTACTTTTTATAAAATTATTAATTTTTAATTAGTTATTTGCTTTGCCAGTCTAGAAGCTTGAGTATAGACTGTACTTTCTAGAAACTGACTATAAAGAGCAAATAGAGAATGAACAATGTTCACTCAGAATGAAGAAAAATGCCTTTCCCAAGCATCTTGATTTTAAAATTATTATGATTATCATAGTTTCCATTCTGTATTTGTTGAATTCACACTTCTGCACAGTCTTCCAAGTCTTTGCCTTTTAGACTGCTAGCAGTTACCATTTCTTTCAAAATAACTCAGCAGATGAGGGGTTGAGGCAAGAAAAGGTTGGGACAAGACAAGGTTTAGTTCAGAACCTGAAGGGCTGCTTAGACTTATGTTAGTTAGAAAACACAATGTGATGCCTAATAATTTGTAAGAGCATATTCCTTGATTTTAACATCTATTGCATTTACAGCAACTGAAATCCCACATGAAAGAAATAGAAAACACAAGAAGTCAAATACAGCTGGCAAATGTACAAGAGTTTGATGAACGGGTCAAACCAATACAGGATGAAGTGTTAGCTGGAGTGAGTTCATTCAGAGAGGTCCAGCAGATGTACACTCGTGAAAAGCAGGACAAGGAGCCCAAGAGAATGCCTTTTGCCAAGAATAGACACAGAGGTAGTGATGTGATTCTGTGTACTTAAGGCATCTGCTGACAAGTGTCCAGTGATGCCCTTGATTAACCTTTGATCAACTTCTTTCAACACTGGACATCTTGATCAATACTCAGTCGCCGCTGATCAACATCTTGATCAACAACTTACTGGCGTGTCTGCGAAAATTAGTCGACTCTCGACTGATTGTCACCTGAGATGTTGATCAAGTGTAATGGTGGTGTCGATTGAGTGTCAATGGAGAATAAATTGAGTGTCAATCGAGGGTGTCAATTGAGGGTGTTGATTGACACTATGCCTTTAGTACACATGATTTGATAATGTAATTAATTATCAATCTTTTTCATATTTATTTTTTGTTCTAAATGTGGCTCACAGTACTTTTTATTAATTAAAAATCTTTCCCACCTCCCCTCTGGCATTCTATTACAGCAAGCTTACTAATGCCATACATACATAAATACATCACCTTTATTTCACCTCGGATTTACAAAGAGTAGCTGTATGGCTAATTTCCCCGAGAAAATAATAAATAAAGGAATAAATAACAGGGTCCGAAATTGCACTTTCCTGGTCGCCAATGCAACTAAAAATTTTGCACTGGCGACCAGAATTTCACAACTGGTCACTAGCGGGCAATTAACTATTTCATGCCACGATAATTACACAAACACTAACTTTGATTTTCAGCCAAATCGATTAAAATAAAATTCAAAGCCGCCCGCCAATTGGTCACTTCCTTTTTACCTATCCGCCACTTTTGAAGTATAAAACTGATTTTCCTGTTATTATAAATCTACCACAACGTTTAACAGCTATGATTAGTGCAAAGCTTCGCCACCATGTTTTCTTAACGGTTTCCCATAACATACGTATTGCGGGTGCAAGAGGCCCCATGCGTTCTTTGGCCATGAATATTTATTCAGGCGGTGTGGTGTCCAAAGATGTTCTGAAATCTTTCCGTAACTTATTACAAAGTGGAAACGGAACATCTGCAAAGAAATTAGGAGAAGATTTAGATATTCTCTGGGTGTCAAAAGGTGGAAATGTAGATCTGTCAAAGTGGTCAAAAGATGTTTTCAGCACTGGTTTGATTCCTGATTACATCGATTGCAAATATTTTGCTGGCAAGCCCATGGTGACCCAAAATTTTGTTTTGTGTTTCGTTGCAAAGGAAAAATTTTATTGACACTTTTTGGCGACCACATTTCTCCATATGGCGACTGAAAAAAAAATTTCAGTTGCCAGTAGGCGCCTAACTAAAAAAGCTAATTTCGGACCCTGAATAAATAACTAACTAAATAAACAAAATAGTATTGATAATAAAAATAAAAAAATAAAATCACATATTATATTCAGTACAACAAACTAATATTTACATAAGTAACAATTGCATAGCTGTTCGAAAGAAATTTGGCCTATTTAGCTCTAAGCTCATTCAAGGAGGCTATTGACCTCAGGTCCTCTGTTAGGTTGTTCCTCATGTTTGCAGAAGTGTATCTGAGGGAATGAAGACCATAAGTGGTTCTGTTAATGTATGGGATAACAAGTTTCCTTGATCCTCATAGGTTGCACTCAGTATTTCTCATTTTACTTCATCTCACTTCATCTCACTTCATTTTGCTATGAAGATTGTCTCAAGAAATGGTTATCCAAATTTACCAGTGAACATGTGATGTTAGAATTGGTTGCCTTGGCAATATCAAACATGATAGAATGTACCTTTACCATTTTTTGGCATCATTACTAGCATCTCTCACTGTGAAAAGTGTGATTTTAATTAGTTTTGTTGAACATTTGAAGAAGCTAGTCATAAAAGGGGATAAGTGACGATTTTGGTTGCTTTTCTTTTTTTTTGCCTGAAATTAGCTGAATTTTTGCATGTGGTCTTCAATGTAATAGAAAAACGTGTCCCTGTATTTTTGCCGCTGGTTTTTGTTTTGTTTTCGAGTTAAAACGTAGGCAAAAAACTTGGCTTTTCCTAGCCATGTCTTTAGGAGTTTTATTTGTTGAACAGCAAACAGGCAGACTGTTTATAGTGTATGAAGTCAAAACCAAATTCCACAGCATATAGAGCGGAAATCTGGGAATAGATTGTTTACATCAGCTATTGTGATGTGAACACAACACGTGAATCGATCGAGCGTCAGACAAAATGCCATCAAACAAAAAAGAGATGTGCCGCATTAGAGCTCTGTCAACTAATATCTT